AATAACTTGTAACTGGAGTATAAGATGATGTAACTTCGTATATTATGAAATGTAACTCCAAGCTAGAAGCAAAATAAACAAACTCAATATCTTAAAACCTCTAAAAACATATAAAAGTGATAAAAAAAATATATTATAGAAAAAGTGTATGCATATAAAAATATATTACAAAAAAATGTATGAATGTACAAAATTAAAATTACATTGGCAATATTGGTCTCATTTGAAAGATCATGAAAAATAAAAAATTTTGATAAAAATTTGATAAAAATCGGATCAAAAATAAAAAAATTATCAACAATTTTAAGAAAAGGAGAAATAAAAAATAACAAAGGGTGTATGGTGCTCACAATGCACCGGTTCCACGGTATAAGCATTGTGCATTTAGAGGTTAAAGCATTTAATTTCATTTAATTTAGTCACTTTTATGTCCAAAATAAAAAAAGTCATATTTAAGTTCATGACAACTCCAAAGGTAATATTAGGGTCATTATTTCAACTTTTAAAATGTGCAAAAATACCCCTCATATTTTTATAAAAGAGCAAATTATCCCTATTAACTTTAATTGATAAAATAAATTTCTTAAACACCAACAATAAATTATAAATTCAAAATAAAAAAATAAAATTTTTGAAAAATGTACTTGTGTCTGATTCTCCCTTTTATTGTTGTATATCACAATTTAATACTTTTAGTATAAAATATTTTTTCAAAACTTTACTATATATTCAAGATTCTTTCGAAAAATTGTTAACATATGTGTTGTAATGTAACAAAATATTTTTTTTTTGCATTCTTTGCACTATAATATCACACATTTTTGTGTGATGATAGTCCAAGATTACAAAATAGTGGATTTAATTTTATTAAGGCTAAATTAAATTAAAGAATGTTATTTTAAAAAATGTAAGAAGTGTTCAAAATTTCGCGAAAAAGAATAAAATTAAAACTAATGAATTTGAAGTGCTTCATTTACAACGAAAAAAATAATAATTTTTCAATTTAAAATTAAAGAGTTAATAATGTAACATAATAATAAATATATTTTTTTTAATTTTGAATGTATTATTTATTTTTGATATTTTTAAAATTTATTTTATCTATTTAAAGTCAATAAGGGTAAATTTTTTCTTTTATAAGAACATGAATAGTATTTTTGCACTTTTTAAAAGTTCAGGGGTATATATACACTTCAACATATACTTGAGGAGTATATTTGTCCCTAAAAATAGAATAAGAGTATTATTGTTGGGTTAATGGCCCAACGAGGGTTGACTCACAAAACCTTCAAGGCCCGCCCTACGAATGTCCCTAGAAGGCATGAGAAAACGGATTACCCTTTACCTTATCCTGACGAGGTTCGTCCCCAACGCGGCCATGCCTCAACACCAAGGCCCAGGGACGTACGTACTGTAGCATAGGCAGGTGCCTTGGCGCAGAGGCAACGCCGGGCGATCGTCTTGCAGGACTTTGGACCCAGCACAAAGCAGGAAGCAAGCTCGAGGGGACGCACGTCTCCACCCCTTGGCGGGAAGCCAAGATACTGGCGGGAAGGGCATTTAATGCATAAGATTTGGTGGTTGAGGTAAAACCATCCACAGGCCATCACATTAGCACATCTAACTACCCATTGGCGGTATAAATAGTAGCATTTATTTCATTATAAATGATTGACAATTTAACACTACAGTATTATAGCATTGTAGCAGTTCGTAGCATAGCTCTGTACGAACAGTCTCTCGTCTTTGTAACCCTTTCGGTGTATTAAGACTTTGATGGATATCTACCCGGGGGGTATATATCCGAGGGGTTATTGTTGGGAATAACTTAGAGAGAAGTCAGAGCTCAAGTAAGTAAGAGAGAGAGTGTATTCAGTATGAATGTCGTGGTTACAAATGGGGAAATGGGGGGCTATTTATAGTAGCAATAAATGCCGGACAGGGACACGTGTCAAGCATCCATTGGCCGAGAGGTCACCTCATCCGGTTGGCGCTGGCAAACGCATGTGGCCGCATTTAATGCGGCTGTTGGATGGGACGTTTGCACAGGGTACGGTGATCTGTACGCGCGTGAAGAGGAGATCTTGTCGAGTGAGATGCCTTCGGCTGTAGAGCAGTAGCCGAGGGCTCCTCAAACCGAGGGCACCCTGGTGCCGAGGGCTACTGTTCTCGCCGTTTTCTCCCAGTTTCTTGGTTTGCTTGAGAAACCCGTTCTGTGAGAGTTTAGAGCCTTCGGCCAGGGGGTCGAAGGCACCCCTGGTGCGCTGTGGGCTGCTTGGTACTCCGGGCGCCATGATTTGGGCCTGTTGGGCCTTCTGGACCTGTTGGGCCTCTACTGGAGTAGTAGGAGTCTGTGGGCCGGGTGTTCCCGGGCCATATACTCCATCAGGAGTCCCTCACTCCTTTTGCCGAAAGGTATTTGAGAAAAAAGGAGTAATTTGTGCTTGCCCTTTGATGTTGTCCGGTCGTGATCTCTGAAGTTGGTGAGGAGTCGTTGCTTTTATGTCCCTGCCGAAGGCAGTCCCTCAGTTACCCACATGTCGGGACTTGAGGGCTTGCTTTGCCGTTTTGTTGGAATTTTTCACCAATTTTGTAATTTAATGATTTTACCGAGGGGGTTCTCCAGTCCCCCACTCCTTGAGGCACTTGTAAAGTGGTGAAAAGGAGTAGAGTAGTTGCGTTGCTGTTGTGGGCCGAAGGCTGACGCTTTTCGTTTCATTTTGGAGGGATGCCTCGTTAAAAACCTCATTAGGAAAAACCCTGTGGGAAAAAATCCTAGTGAGGGAAAAAGAGTGCACCGAATTCCCCCAATGATGAATTGAAAATGTGAAACCTTGGTCAAAAATGGAGAATAACGGTAATGCCGAAGGCTCTTCTTCTTCTGAGTGCTCATGTGTTGATTGGCCGAAGGCTTGTTGTTGATGTCCTGGGGGCGCTGAAGGGGAGCCCCTCAATCTGGGGATCGAGGGCTTGATGGATGAGGGCAGTAGTGGAGTTGTTACCGGGGGGTCCACTGTTTGTTGATTAGTTGGTGATGAAGATACCCGAGGGCTCCCCATGACTTGTGTGCCATAGGCTATCCGTCAATGAGGCAACTCCCCGGGGGCTACCCGGTTTTTACAGGCTATCCCCGAGGGGTGCCCTGATATGAAGCCTTGGGTTTCTGAAGGAGTGATCCCGAAGGCGTCTGTTATGTGCTGTGTGGGGCACAACCCGGGGGCGTCTCTGGGTAAGTGTACCCGGAGGCTCTCCTTGATGAAGTGGAGTGAAGTAGAAAACCCGGGGGCTTCCAGAATATAGCCGTTGGAAATATAGCCGTTGGAATATGTAGCGTCAGATTTATAGCCGTTGGGGGGGGGGGGGGGGTACACGTGGAGTGTTGCCGTTGGCTGCTCGTGGGCGGGCGTCACCGGTTGGGTGAAACGACGGTGCGTAATGATGGCTTTGGCTGCTGGGAGCCCGGATCTCGGCCCAAGCCCGGATCTGGGAGCCTATAAATACCCCAAGCCAAGGCCATTCCTTCTTTACGCATCCAACATCCCTAGCGAAGCTCTGCCAAAAATTCTAGAGAGAGAAACACAAGTCTTCGGTCAAAACTCCGCTTTCAGAGGTCAGTTCTCCTTCCGCCCTTAGCTCCATTTGAGTATTTAGCTTTTGGCCTTAGGGTTAGTCTTTAGGACCCTTTAGGAACCCCCCCTTTGTACGAGTTTCCCGACCCCTCGCCTTTTAGAAGTAATGTCATCAGCTAGTGATTCCCAAGACATCTCCGGGGAGGCTTCAGTGAACGTTGAAGTGCCGTCTGACGTGGAATCCTCGAGCGAGCAGCTCTCGGTCATCGATGATAGGGCCGTGGCCGAGGCGATACAGGGTGACCTTCGGCTTGAGCTCGAGGCCGAAGACTTCGAGCAGGTGAACGCGGATGAGGAGCTTGCTATCGCCTGTCAAGTGGCCGAGGACGAGGCCCAGAAGGAAGGCCTGAAGGTGACTGTAGCTATCCCTCCCCCTCGGTGTGGTACTGAAGCTGGGAGCTCCCGGCCCATAGACGCTGTACCCCTCAGTGTGGCCCCAGGGCAAAAGAGAAAGAAGGCGAGGATGGCTCCGAAGAAGAAGCAAGCTGCCGTCGACGCTGGCCAGCCACTGGGACTGCCCGGGGGCTATTCTTTCCTGAATACGGCCGCCTTGGAGGTCAAGAATAAAGCTACCCGAGGGGAAATGATGGCGGTACAATTTTTGGTATGGCCTTCGGCGCAAGTGGTAGAGCCAAAGCCGGATGATGTGCTCCTTCGTGCCCCCGACGGCTGTTTCGCCGTACATCTGCTTTCGGTGGAGCTGGGCCTCAGATTTCCCCTTCATCCTTTCGTGTTGGAGTACCTACGCTTCGTCAAGCTAGCCCCCTGCCAGTTGACCCCGAACAGTCACTCATATCTGGCAGGGTTCCTATCACTGTGCCTCAGCCGAAGGGTCCCCCCTACTCTGGAGCAATTCTTCTTGTCGTTCAACTTATGCCGGGGGGGGGGGGGGGGGGGGGCATTCGAATGCCGGGGGCTATGGTAATTTGCAGCAGCTCCCGAGGTTCAGGATTTTTGATGAGGCGCCTTCGTCTCACAAGGGGTGGAAGGACAAGTTCTTTTATATCCGGTTGGCCGAGAACCCCTTCTCCGCCCCGCTTGGTGATAGGTTTCGGCGGCACCTGAAGGCAGAAGGGTATGCCCTCAAAAAAAATGGGCGGGCGTTGTCCAAGAAGCCGGAGGGTTCCGATAAGCATGTGTCCATCAAAAGCGCAACGGTCTCCAGTGAGTTGTATAAGCTCGGCTTCCGTCGGTACCGGCTGATGGGGGAGAAGGAGGAAGGCTACCCCATGATTGATCGCGAATATGAGAGTGCCGAAGGTTGACGTAATGCCGAGGGCTTCAATTTTCATACTTAGAAATTTTTTCCTCTTTTTTTTTTTGCTTTGTTGTAGTAGTGAACTAACCCTTGTGTGCCTTCTTGTGTTTCAGGACCAGACATGGACGCTCGGAACCTTGTCAAGCTGAAGAGGCAACTTGCCAGGGAGGAGCAGAAAAAGGAGGCCCCCGCCCAGCAGAGGGCGGTCGATGAGATCTTCCCCAAGGCGGGAGTGGCCGAAGAGGCCAAAGAGGTGGGGGCCGTCCCGGAGGCCGCCGTCGGGGGCTCCCCCGGTCAGGAGCCGAAGAGGAAAAGGCTTGGGAAGGACCCGGCACAACCGGAGGGGAAGAAGAAGAAGAAGAAGGGGCCCCCGGAGTCAAAGGAAGCCCCCGTTGTGGTCGTAGACGAATCTTCTCCTCCCAAGCCTTCGGGTCAAGCTAATGATCTGACATGGCCCCTGGACAAAGTCCAATTCTCTATTACGAAGGGGACTGCTATCATGCACGGGACCCTGAACCCGAAGGAGTTTTTGAGGGGTGCCACCCCTCCGACCGATAAGTCTGTGCTCTCCCATCAGGCCGACGATGTCCTCTGCTCCAAGGTTCTGATGGCCTCGGTTACGGTAAGGTTCCTTCCCTCTCTTTTGTAGATAACTTCATTCTTTACATGTGTAGTGGCTAACCCTCCGGTAATTCATGTCTGCTTTCAGGCGAGCCTTGGCCTTGGCGAGCTGGTCCAGAGGATAGAACAGCATGACTCGGAGAAGAAGAAAGCCGTTGAAGCACTGGCTGAGGCCCGAAGGCAGCTCAAGGAGGCCGAGGACGCTCGCAAAGCTGAGCAAGAGGCTTTCAAAGAAATTCTCGAGGGCTCCAAGACGGTGGCCAGAGCCGAAGGCAAAGCAGAGGCGGAGAAGGCTGCGGCCGATGCTGCCAAGAAGGCCGCGGAGGATGCCGAGGAGGCTCGGATCAAAGCTGTCGCCGAAGCCCGGGAGGACACTGTCGCCGCTTTTGCTGAGGAGGGATGGAAAGCCGAAGGCCGGCAGGAATGGGTGGCTTCGGTGGTGGAAGCTTCGGTGAACGAATGGGTGAAAGGCCCAGGCGCAATGTGGTTGGCCCGAAAGGGGAAAGAGTATTATGACGGGGGTGAGTACTTTACTCAGGCCCTCGTATATCGAAGGCTGTCCCGACATTTTGGGGTGGACCCGAAGGCCTTTGATCCGGCATCCTATGGTCTCCCTCCCCTTCAGCCAGACCCCAGGGTTCCCCTCCCTGAAGGTGTTGCGAGGCCTGATTTGGAAGACTCCCTGCTGATGGCCGAGGGCAGTGACGAAGAGGAGGAAATTGGGGATGATGCCGCGTCCAAGCCTGCAGTAGAGGACGCCTCCGGGAATGCCGTCAAAGTTGTTGAGTGATTTTATACTTAGGAATGTCTGAACATATTTTGTAATGAACAACATTGATCCTTCGGCTTCGGCCTATTTGTAATTTTACACTCACTTCTGTTTTTGATGAATGCATGCTGCCTCCGGGCTCTTCACATTTGAATGCGCCCTATGTTTTGAATGTATGCCTTCTCCTTTTTGAGTGTATGTCTTCTCCTTTTTGAATGTAGCCTTCGGTAGTTGGGCACCCTATGCTGGATATACAACCGAGGGTTCAACAATAATTAGGACTTAGAAAATTTTCCTAAGTGTAACACACCATAGGGCCTTCGGGTGTTTGTAGCTCAATTGCTGTGTGGTGATTAGGTTGAGAACCCAATTCCTAGGACTTAGAAAAATTTCCAGGTGTAGTTTTGCCCTCGGATGCCCTTGGCTGGTAGCCTCTTTCCTGATGTGTGAATATTGGACCGAGGGCCCGATGTACAGGACTTAGAAAATTTTTGCAAGTGTAGTATGTCATGTAGCCTTCGGCTGCTGTGGAGCCCCAACTGAAATGTTGATTAGGCCGAGGCCAATTCTTTAGGACTTAGAAAATTTTCCTCAGTGTTGATTCCTTGTGTACCGTAGCCTTTGATTGATAGGTAGCCTTCGGCTATTAGGTCCCTTGATATGAGGGTGAAATATGTAGGACTTAGAAAGATTTCTAAGTGTAGATTTTCCCTTGGGAGCCTTCGGGAGATGGCATCCCTTCTTGATGTATGAGCGGTTTACCGAGGGGAAAATATGTAGGACTCAGAAATTTTTCTAAGTGTAGATTTTCCCTTGGGAGCCTTCGGGAGATGGCATCCCTTCTTGATGTATGAGTAGGTGACCGGGGGAAAAATATGTAGGACTTGGAAAATTTTCTAAAAGTAGATTTTCCCTTGGGAGCCTTCGGGAGATGGCCTCCCTTCTTGATGCATAGCCTTCGACTGTCATATTCATTTAGCTGTAATATTGATTGGGCCGGGGGGCCATCTTTAGGACTTAGAATTTTTTCCAAGTGCTGCTTCCTTGTGTAGCCTTTGGGTGATAGGTGCCCTCTGACTCTACATCACTTTGCGAGATGCCCGGGGGCTACTCATTTAGGACTTAGAATATTTTTTAAGCGTAAAGTGATGTCGAGCTTCCGGATGTAGAGCCCTCCGGGTATATGAACAGGACCCTTTGGGTGATCGTGAGGCCCTTGTGTTGTATGAGTATTTGACCGAGGGCCAAATATGTGGGACTTAGGAACATCTCAAAGTGTGCTGTAGATGTTGAACCTTCGGTCAGTGAGGAGCCTGTCCGGGGGCAGATATTTTGGGATAAGCCCCCTCGGTTGGCCTTTGATGATTTGTAATAGATGCCTTCGGTTGTCGGATGATATATTAGCCTCGGGTTGTTGTCATTTTCCAAAGGTGTGGACTTAGGAAAAGTGTGGAATCCAGTCCCTTCGCATTGTTGAAGCCTTCGGTGTTTGTGTGGCCGGAGGTGACCAAGCAGTGGACTTAGCCGTTTCTTGATGATATTTGTTTGAGTAGTATCCTTTGGGAAATAAGAGCCTTCAACTACCGGAGGTGTTCTCGTGGGGAGCCCTCGGCATGTCGTGATCTGTTGGAGTGTACTCTTTGATTTGTCGCTGAGTCTACTCCCCTTCACCCCCTCTTTTTGTTTTTTGTTTTTGGTTGGTGGTGAAGGGAAGGCATCAAGAAACTTGATTTCTTGGTAAGGCTGGTCCTATTAGGAGACCATCAGAATACACCAATGGCTCTCCTCCCTCGGGTTAACCTTCCGAGTTCCGAGGGGATCGAGGGTCGTTTCCTGGGCACAAGATATGGTGGTCTGTAACCTGCCTCCCCTTGGGGGATGGCGCGGAAAGCGCCTCATTTTTGAAAGTCGTCCCCTCGGCGCTAGACATAGTCCGTGGCCTGCCACACCCTTGGGGTGGTGGCGCGGGGAGCGTTTCGGTTTGGAAGTCGAATCCTGGGCATTTCTCGTGCATGTCATACCCTTGGGGTGATGACGCGGATAGCGTTCCGTTTTTGAAAGTCGAATCCTGGGCATTTCTCATGCCTGTCATACCCTGGGGGTAGTGATGCGGAAAGCGTTTCAAGGAAGGGTTTTCATTTGCACACTAGTTGCAAATGGTCGGGGGCACTACGTGCCGCCGGCACCGATGGTGGCGCCTTCGGTATATGCGTCCTCGTGGGGTACGGCTTTTAGAAACAACACTCGGTGTTAGCTTCGATGTGTAGCCCCCGGTACTTGGTACCGAGGGGTCTTCTGTAGGAACACCTGATGCTCTCTTTTGTTGTAGTTGATGGAGGTGTCTACCCTCGGTACTTGATACCGAAGGGTCTTCAAATGAAACACTTGGTGTTTCGCAACAGATGTTTGGAAGTTGATAGGAGAGCATATCCCGGGCACTGGGTGCCGAGGGGTCTTCTGTAGGAACATTTGGTGTTCTTATCTTTTCTTTTTTGATGTTGAAGGTGGAGATGTGTACCCCCGGCACTGGGTGCCGAAGGGTCTTCTGTAGGAACACCTGGTGTTCTTATCTTTGATGTTGAGGGCGGAGATGTGTACCCCCAGCATTGGGTGCCGAAGGGTCTTCTGTAGGAACACTTGGTGTTCTTATCTTTGATGTTGAGGGCGGAGATGTGTACCCCCGGCACTGGGTGCCGAAGGGTCTTCTGCAGGAACACTTAGTGTTCTTATCTTTGATGTTGAGGACGGAGATGTGTACCCCCGGTACTTGGTACCGAGGGGTCTTGACTGAGAGCACATGGGGCCTGTAGTTGGTATGAGGGCTTGGCCGCTCATAAGTGTTTTGTTCTTGTTGTCCTGAATGTATCTTCATTCCTCAAAAGTGGAGGCCTTGGGCCAAAGGATGGTACATTCATTAGTTATGAGGGCTTGACCGCTCTTACATTATTGGTAAAATTTAACTAAATGGTGTACATTCCAGTGCCTAGGGACCTCTTTTCCATTGGGGCGTTTGAGCTTGTAAGTTCCGGGTTTGATGATGGCTGCTATGATGTAGGGGCCTTCGAATTTTGGTGCCATTTTCCTCCCTCGGTTGGTTGGCTGGCTTCCCTCCTCCGGAGGACATAGTCCCCCACTTGGAATTCTCGGGTGCGAACTTTGGCGTCGATGTAGCTTTTGACTTGCCTTCGGTAGTTTTCTGCCCGGATGAAGGCCTGCTCCCGGCGTTCTGAAATGAGGTGGAGGTCGAGGGCCATGTTGCTGTCGTTGACCTCGGGGTCATATTGGATCACCCTTTGGGTGGGAAGGGTGACTTCCGTAGGAGCTTTGGCTTCAAAACCGTAGCAGAGGGAGAAGGGTGTTTCACCTGTTGCTCGCCGAGGGGTGGTGCGGTAGGCCCACAGGATGTTGTGGAGTTCTTCCACCCAGCCACCGCCCTCGGCCTCCAGCTTCTTTTTGAGGCCCTCGAGCAAGGTCCGGTTGGCATTCTCTACTTGCCCGTTGCCTTGAGGGTAGGCAACGGAGGAGAAGGTGTGTTTGATGCCCCATGCCTCCAGAAGGGCACAGAAGGAGGCTGCCTCAAATTGTGTCCCATTGTCGGAGATGATCTGCTGGGGGACGCCAAACCTTGTGAGGATGTTCTTGAGGACAAAATGACGGCACTTCGCCTCTGTGATACTGGCGAGGGGCTCAGCCTCCACCCACTTAGTAAAGTAGTCGATGGCCACAATGATGTACCTGTTGTTGGAGGTACCCCTCGGCAGAGGGCCCACAAGGTCTATTCCCCATCGAGAAAAAGGGACATATGTGCTGATGGGGGCATAGTTGACCGCTGGCCTGCCGGGGGCTTTCTGGAAATGTTGACATGCGGTGCACCTTCGGGCAAGGTCAGCACAATCTCTGGCCATGGTTGGCCAGAAGTAGCCTTGGAGAATGAGCCTTCGGGACATGGAGAAGGGTCCCTGGTGAGCTGAGCAAGTGCCACTGTGCACTTCCTCCATTGCGACCTCGGCTTCATCTTGATGAAGGCACCGAAGTAGCGTGCCATTGTAAGAACGTTTGTAGAGCCTTCCATCTTCGATGGTGTAGCTAGGAGCCCTCAGTTTTGCCAGTTTAGCGCGGGTCTCATTCTCGGGTAGCTGCCCTGTGGAGATGAAGGCGGTGATATCTGAGATCCAATCCTCTTGGCGTTGTTGTATGTTCATAACGGGGCTTGCATGGATACTTGAGAGGCCGAGTTCCTCAATTTTGGCAATCTTGGAGATGTGCTCGTGGGAGTCGGCCGAGAGCTTAGATAATATGTCGGCCTCGGAGTTCTGAGCCCTCGGTATTTGAGTGAGAGAGTGTGCCTCAAATACCTTAAGCAACTCCTTGGCCGCTTCCTTGTACTGTTTCATTCTTCCCTCCTTGGCCTCATATTCCTCGGAGATTTGGCCGATGACCAACTTGGAGTCGCATTTGATGTGGATCTGTCGAGCCCTCATGTTGGCGGCCAGCCGAAGGCCACATAGGAGGGCCTCATATTTGGCCTCGTTGTTGGAGACTTTGAAGGAGAAGCGGATTGCATAGTAGGCTCTGAAGCCCTCGGGAGTAATGAGGACTACCCCTCCCCCGCATGCTTTGGTCGCCGAGGAGCCGTCAGTGTAGAGGGTCCACCAGTCGTCCGAGGTAGCCGAGGGCTCCCCGTCCGTGGCTGCCCTTGCGGTACACTCCGTCACAAAGTCCGCCAGGGCTTGGCCCTTGATGGCAGGCCTCAGACGGATGTCAATGTTGTACTGGCTCAAGAAGATAGCCCATTTCACCATGCGGGAGGAGCTGGTGGGGCTCCTCATGAGGGCGCCGAGGGGTTGATGAGTGAGGACCTGAACCGGGTGAGCTTGAAAGTAGTGGCCCAACTTCTTGACAGTCCAAACGATGGCTAACACCGTTTTCTCCACAGGA